ACGCATTATTTTGTATAATATTAAGTATTATTGTATAATATTAAATAGTATTGACCAACGTTTAGTCTAGTGGTTTGCGTACCGGTCTGCTATGCCAGAGGTCACGGGTTCGATCCGTAGATTTTATTTCATTCAAAGTGTAGGAATTTATTAGTGTATTTACGAAAATCATGTATTTTAGGTATGCTATCGTTATCGTTGTCTGATATTTTATTTTTAGAATATTCGATACCTGCAGAGGTATCGATGCAGAGTCTGCACCACTGCAGAAGTGGCAAAAAGTGGGCTAGCCGACCGATTGTCAATTGCTGTTGGTGTTCAACACCGACTTACCGGAACACTTGACGCCGTTCACCGCGAACGTGACGCGATCCATGCTGGAGGGTCACTGCGCAGAAATCGGCGCCAACACGATTTAAGTAAACTACTGATTAGGTCAGCTGTTTATAAGCGGTAGCGATATTTTACTTTAAATGCAAGTAAGATTAAAGATTGATCCAATCAATATTTAGATCGGCAAACACTCAATGCTTGATCGAATCGATGCTGGAATCGAGAGAGTCCAATTTTCTAACGAAATTTTCTTTTTCAACAAGGCATAGCTCCACCCACGGAATTAGCAAGTGTGGCAAGAGCTTTGAGCTTTAAGCTGCATGAACTCAATTAGGTAGGTAAAGAAAAATTAACTAAGGCCGAAAAAATGGAGACAGACCTAGTGCTTCACGGTATCACAATAATAAGATACATCTGTCTTGTTACACAAGTTATTTTGCAACAAGAATGGATCTACGTGCTAACAACTGTAGCATAAAATAGAAGAATAAACTTTACCTTCCGTTTGCTTGTTACGCTTACCCGCCCTAATCCGCTATCGCTTATAACTGACCAACCATTTTAGTAAACTACAAATACAATAATTGCTAGATTTGTGCCGATAATGGCTTAGCATCAATCGGGTGAATTTCCTAACATGGTTTTTCACGGCATCGCGGCATCGCTGTAAACACATTATTGACACTACAGAGAGGACTAAGTGTGAGTTTACATCAAATGCGTAAAAAATACATGTATGACGGATTGTTCAGCGCCCCTAGCGGAAACTTTCAGGAACTAAAATTTTCATACTTTTTTTATGAGCGCGTTTGATGTAAACTCACACTAAGACTGGATTGCACCATCTTACTTTAACTTTGACAAACGTCAAAAATCTGTCAAACTCCATACAAAAAGCATCGGTTATCGTCATTATTACCGTTAAATTTAGGTGGTGCAACTCAGCCTAGGCCCTCTGGCCGCCAATAGCTAGTTAACCATCTTCAGTAATAATCCAGTATATTGTAGTAGTATTGTTAGACTCCTACTCATTCACACTGAGCAAAAACCCAGACTAAGGCATTACTATGAGGTCTCACAGTGCGCGTGTACGAGGGCTGCACTAAAAGTATCGGGAATGGAATATTTCCACTGTTCCAGTCATATTAAAATCTATTTAATTGCAAACTCCAGGGTTTTAAAAATCGTATACCATTTATTTATTTAAATAAAGATTCTCGGTCGTATCACAAGGTCTTGTCAAACTTGTTTAGTCGTTGAGAAAATGGAATTGACTCGAGAAAATTCAAGAGCGATGATTTATTATGACTTTTGGAGTGGTTTAACACAAAAACAGTGTGTTGACCGGATGATTTCTGCATTTGGTAATGAAGCCCCATCCAAAACCACAATTTATCGCTGGTTTACTGAATTTCAACGTGGACGTGTCAAGCTCAGTGATGATCCCCGTCAAGGTCGTCCAAAAACTGCAGTCACCTAAGAAAACGTTGATGCTGTGCGTAAGCTGATTGAAGAAGATCGACATGTGATATACCGCGAAATTCAGGCAACTTTAGACATTGGCATGAGTCAAATACAAATAATCTTGCATGAACAATTAGGTGTAAAAAAGTTGTTTTCCCGATGGATACCGCATTCGCTCTGTGAAGAGCAAAAAGCGGCTCGCGTTACTTGGTGCGTCAGAACTCTCGGGAGATTACATGCAGGATCCTCAAATGCTGTATACAACATCGTATCAGGTGACGAATCATGGATATACGCGTACGAACCCGAAACAAAAAACCAGTCACGAGTTTGGGTGTTCGAAAATGAATTAAAGCCAACAAAAATTGTTCGTTCACGGAGTGTTGCAAAAAAAATGGTGGCCACGTTTGTCTCCAAAACCGGCCATGTTGCGACTATTCCTCTTGGGGGACAAAGAACGGTTAATGCAGATTAGTATGCTAGCATTTGTTTGCCACAGGTCGTTTCTGAACTCCGTAAAGAGAACTGCAACCGCCGCATCATCCTCCATCACGACAATGCGAGTTCTCACACCGCGCACTGAACAAAAGAGTTTTTAGAGCAAGAAAACATAGAATTATTAGTCCATCCGCCGTACAGCCCCGACCTAAGGCCTAATGATTTCTATACTTTCCCTAAAATAAAGAATAAATTGCGTGGTCAGAGATTTTCATCACCTGAAGAAGCTGTGGAAGCCTACAAAACGGCCATTTTGGAGACCCAAACTTCCGAATGCAATGGTTGCTTCAATTATTGGTTTCGTGTATGGAAAAATGTGTCAAATTTCGCGGAGAATACTTTTAAAAGCAATAAATACATTTTTAAATAGTAATGTTGTTTCACTTCCTTGATTCCCGAAATTTTCAGTGCCGCCCTCGTACATAATCATATAAAAGGAGAAACTGACTGACTGACATATCAACGCACAGCCTAAACAGCTAAACGTAGGCACTTGAAATTTGGAAGGAACGTAGCTTAGGTACCGTAGAGGTGCACTAAGAAAGGAATTACCGAAATTCCCATGGGAACGGGAATTAGCGGGAAAATCCTTTTGTATGAAAAATCTAAACCGCTTAAGTTAGACGCTTGAAATTTGGCATGCAGGTACCTTAGTAAACTTAAAGCTTAGTTACAACAGGATATTGCAAAATTCCACGGGAACGGGAGCTAGCGGGAAAAAACATTTGTATGAAAAAATCTAAACCGCGTAAGATAGATGAAGGGGGTAAAACGGGATCCACGCGTACGAAGTCGCGGGCGGCCGCTAGTTGTAGGTATAATATTATGCTCTCAGCAGACTGATGGCGCCTCGCTAGTGCTGGCAGTGGTGCCAACTGATGAACGGTAATTCAGTTAAGTGCCTGTAACCGTCTGCTCGGTTGCCTCCTGTCACATAAAAAAAACAAATACGATACATTTTGCATCTTCCGGCGTAAATAAATGCATTAAATTGACATGCTTGCTAAACCAGCGAGTTATTTTTTAACGACAAAAGTATTACAGTATTAGTAATTACATAGAACAATTAATTATTGACTTACAATAATTAATTGTTCTATGTAATTACTAATACTGCGTGCTCAAAAATATTGGAAAATTCCAGTAGGTACACATATCCCATCCTACGGCACTAACTAATGCAAAAATTGCGTGTTTTGGATTTTGAAACTTCCTTTCCTAATTATTAATAAATAATTATTTGAAAGTTGAGTTCTTGTTCCCTGCTTATTAATTTTTTAATAGTGATAAATTAACTTATGAAGTTAATTAATTCCGTCTCGTACTCGTTTCTGACGGAAACTGATAAAGACTACGGGTAAGAAAGGGTGCGAATTGATTATTCTGTAGAGTACAAATTTTTTTATTTCCTCAATAATTAGTTATTCGTGGAACCGGCGTCAAATTCTAATACAAAACGAATCTGTAAATTCGGTTCTATTTCAAGTATGATAGAGCATAGGACAACCAATCAAAAGCTTCGTTAGTATGAATTAGCTAGGTACTCAAGAACCGATTCAAGCTTTTCGATTGATCTACTATTCGTATATTACCTATAATATGTCCTGTTTCTGTGTATGTGTATATGAATTTGTTTTTTTTTTCATAATTCTAAAAACTTTAGTGTCTATATTTTTACTATTATATTTAACCTAAGTTACGTTGTTTATCAAGAACTTTTCTAAAATGAGTTAGCATTAAAAAACAGATTTTATTATTATGTTTATTAACAGACATAAGCTATTTAACCTAATTACAAAATGCATTGTTTAAAGATACAGTAAATATTAATTAAAATTAAAGATATCCAAAAATTTTGCGTAGCAAAACTGTGCTCATTAACATTATTTGGGTATGAAATATTTCAAATAAAATCAAAAAGTTTCAAATTACTTTTAGTCGTTGGTACTTAAACGTTAGAGCCGGCATAAATGGCACATTTAACACTTTATAAAGACTATAAAAATAGTGACGTTTATCTTCGTCATGTAAAAAACTTATAATTATTTAAGCAAATGTAAACTCTCAAAATTTATATATGTACGAAAATTACATTTTAAATATATTTTTAGACATTGAACGGCCTTTAGACACACGAGTATAATCAAATATTCAAAGACTAATTGATATACAAACTCAATTGTAGTCGGATTCAATTTTGTAATCAAACGAATTAAATTAAGTTTATTTTTATATCTTGTGCTTTAAACAAAATAAATGTCTTCTAACAACCTTTAAACATAGAATAGAGAGCACGATCCAAAGGTAATAATACCATAACTACAACTAAAACTACTTTTATTAGAAATAACAACAAAAATGTAATGTTTGAGAAAGTAAAGGATTTTTCTCTATATATGACTGATTTAACAAGTCGTTATAATTTTAAAAAATTATAACACAGTGATGGTAAATATCTATGCAACAATAGATAAATCGTTTTTTATATTACATTAAACACTTTATATGAAAAACAAGGCTATTTTCAATGTTCATTTTCATTAATAGTAATATATTTTGTACTTCAGGTCCAAAAAACCGTGCTACAGGCTTTTAACATTTAGTTTCCAATTCTACGACAGCAAACGAGGTAGTTCGGCATCTAAAGTGAATTGATTTTTTTACGAAAATATTTTTTTGGTATTGTACTTTAATCTTTTTCAGGTAGGTAATGTAAAATCGAATACATTAGGGACGTCATTGAGGTATTCAGATACAAAATGACGTTTGTTCAGTAGATCTGCTTAGGCAGTGTTGTAGATGGCGGGCTGGCGGCTGGTGTCACCCATCTTGTAATAGTAGCTCCTTATTACCAGAAGGAAGTAAATTGAAAGAACTGGAAAAGAAAAAATGATTTTTATTTGAGAGTGAACGCACGGGACTATTCCCACCTCTCGTCCCAACCACTGCAACTCCTGTGTACTCTTGACCGCCAATAAAAGTGAAGGTCAATACTGGGACGTATAAAAGTGCTTTTTAAAAGCCTACTTGCAAAAATAAAATGAGATTTAATGAGTTTATTCTCTTGGGTTTTCAGTTTTTTAATGACTAACATTTTGTATCTTGCGGGCTCGAACCCGTAACTGCTGTAATAATGTCAAAGAAAACTCACGGATGGAAAGCAGCTTGGAAGCGACGTCGCCTCCGTTGATGGGGGGGCTGGCGAAGGAAGCCAGGAACGAGATCGTGTAGAGGATCAAGAAGATCACGTGGAAGATCAGGTACGCCTTCACGTGGCCGCGCTTGTTCTGAAAATTAAATCAAACTGTTTAATAAAGCTACTAACCATCTTACCTAAGGTATAACAGTAACTAGCGACCCGCTCAGGCTTTGCACGGTACGCTAAGTAAATATAAACCTTCCTCTTGAATCACTCTGTCTATTAAAAAAACAGCATCAAAATCCGTTGCGTAGTATAAAGATCTAAGCATATATGTATAGGGACAGATAGCGGAAAGCGACTTTGTTTTCTATGTAGTGATGTTAACAGCATTGTTGTGCTCCGTCAGTTAGAGACAAGATAGCCAGTTCCTCTATTGTTGAGGATTCCAGGTCAAACTCGCGTCCATCTTCATGTGAATCAATCACTTTAAATCAGATAAGAAGACGCAAGCCAAAAGTTTCCTCGTTGTGGATAAAAACAGTTGTTGGAAACTGGCCAACACAGCGGCCTCCTTAGATAGTTTAGAAGTATTTTTTTATGAACTTTTCTATTGTAATTCAGTTCTTCTGATCAACGCTGATGGTTTTTAGCGGCTCTGTACCTTCAGTTCCACACAGTTTACTCCGTAATTATAGGACAGATTACTAATAAGTAATACAAAAAGATTGTTAACAATTCTAGCGCATTCTTCATCTGTAGTGTAGATGTAATAAAACGGACAGGGTTTTTTTGACCTTAGACATACGCCCATAAAGGACGCGACGTCCAAATTAAAAATTTATATTATAATGAACTAGTCTCTATTTTTAAGTAGGTAGTTAAATCTTCTCAGGGATCAGACTCACGACCTCTGCCGATAACGTAAACGGTTTGTTTTAACGATATACTCGTACCTACATTTATTATCGTTTGTTCACGAAAAATAAAATATTAACTAAGTATTTAAAAACAATAGGCTACTTTCCTAAAAAAATACTTTTAGTCCGTCAATTACAGAATTAAAATATATTAGACACGTATATTTTTATTTGTCAATCAAACAAGTAAATAAGAAGTTATGATGCGTTGAAGTTCCACGTGACGTCACAAAGTGCTACACTTTTAAGCACGCCTTGACGTCACGAGCCTCTTCGTTTGAACTTTGGTGCGCTTTACCTCTTTCAATTATCATTAGTTTTAAAAAGCGAAAAATACGTGTCGAGTATTTTTTGATAAGTTAACCGACGGAAAAATTCAAAGAAAGAAAACAGCATTGTTTTTACCTGGTGAACTCCGACCAGGAACACAATGTTGAAGATCAGGAACAGCAGTATTAGCACGACGAAGATGATGGCGATCACGGAGACGGCGGCGGCGGCCTCCGTCGGGAAGTGACCCTGCTCACGTAGCGCCTGCTGGACGTCCTTGTCGTTCACTGCCACGCCGACCATCACACCGAGAATCAGCGTCATGATCACGGCGATGGCACTGAACACCTGGAAAATCGCAATCATTCATAGTTAAATAAATAATAGACTATAATTTCACAAAGTTTAAAAAAGTCCATATGCGGATTCGTAATAAACATAATAGTGAATCGTACCCTGTGCAGAGACGGACCATGGGGGTGAAGCCCCGGTGATCAGTCTCTGCGCAAGACATTTCCACAGCGCGAATGTGTAACTGTCCGCTAGGGTCCTTAGAGATAGAGAACAAAGCAAAAGAGGCTTAATTATCATCACAGTTTTTCTATATGCACAGAAAAATTTTGGATTTTGAAACTATAACCTCAGTTTTATTAAAGCAGATATATTTTTACCAACTACCTAATATTTAAATTCATTATATTTTTTAATATTTTTAAGAAACCTTTAGCCCGACGGAATAGCTAGCTGAAGTGGCAATGGGCAGGGCACATAGTACGCAGAACTGACGGCCGATGGGGCAAAGGTTCTGGAATGGAGGCCGCGTACCGGAAAACGCAGCGTGGGACGTCCACCTACAAGGTGGATGATGATGATGAAGTAACCCTTATTTCCACAACAAGTTTCTTCCCAGTTGCCAGCCGATTTGTCGTTCCAAAGTGGATGTAGAGGCAGACAGCTAATATTTGCTTTAAAAAGGGCCTAAATACTTATTATGAAAATGAATTGAAAATATACTCATAGAACTTACCAGATTAAGATATCCGATGATCAGACACCCCGTCCTCAGCTCGATGCACCCACAGCACGTATCGAAAAGTAGAGCCGCCATCTTTGTGTCTGTAAAAAATAAAAAAATTGTGTTAATTTCCTATTTAAATCATTTAATTTATGTATTTAATAACGAGTAGGTAGTTCTGTTTAAAAATACTTTCACAATTTAATTATTTTTAAGCTTTCACGTTGTACTTTTATACTTTTAGCAAAATGTTGTTTTCAAACTTTTTGTTATTGGAAGCATAGTACGAGTAGAAAAATGAAAATTAGAGTTGCGTGCGATTTCACAACCGCAAGGGGACAATAAAGTGTGATGAACACGATAATTTAATATGACATCTATTTAGTTAAGTAGGTAGTACATGTACCTATCTAACGTCTATCCGTACATCTAATCGCTATAATACAAGCTCTGCTTAATTGGGAGCAGGCCTTCAACAGACATAACAACCATTTTTCATGGTATTTGGACCTTAAGACAAAGAAATAAAGTTCAAAATATGGTGGCGACTATATTCCCTCTTCCGTTAAAAAATGCTACAAATTATGCCGACTTAGACATAGATTATTTTATTGTCCTAACGACATTGCCCCAGTAGGCACAGGAGCAATTAATGACATGTCCAATTAAGCCACTTAACAATTTGATGGTCTTTCAAGGTTTTAGGAACAATAAAAATAGCATGGTGTGTTGAGATCAGAATTTTTCGGACATCAGAAAACCCAATTTTCCTAGCTTTTTTGGATTTTTTTCTTTATTACACAGTGAAAAGTTACAGAAAACTTTTTTTTCTTTGTCATAGCATTCTATTTAAATTCAAATTTATCCTTGACGTAGGTAGGTATGTCACCTACTTGATTTACTAACTTTAAAACGATTCTTCAATTTAATTTCTTTCCTATAAAAAATTCAGTGAGTCACAAGAAAAGTTCGACGGTCAAACATTAACCGACTCTTGTGAATTATTTATTCAAAAAATGTTTCAGATTCAGAAATTTATTTGCTTACATGTTCATGGTATTATAACAGGTGTAAAACAATAATAGAGCAAACTTATATGAATCTAGATAGGTAGGTAAGTGTAGCAAATATTTCACAGAAAAATATTACACATTGTAAATGTAAATTACCGTACTTATTTATTTAGTATTTGTTTTGATAAAATTTTCAGAAGTTATTTTAGCTAGGATCCCTAGCTTCTTACATCCCTAGCTGACCCGGCGAACTTTGTATATCCTATGCTCATCAGAAATAAGAATTTTTCAAATCGGCCCAATAGTTTCGGAGCGTATTCAATACAAACAAACAACTAGATAATGTAGACAATATGCGCAATGTTTTATGCATTGAGGTATTCAAATATCTACAATTCAAAGTGACCGGCCAGTGCGTCGGTCGGTGATGCCACCGCCAAATATCGCGATGACCTTGGCACTACAACTCTGATACTATCACGTTTTTTAACAAAAAACGACTACAAAAAATAATGCAACACGTGTTTCTTTATTTGTAACGAAGCTTCCCGCTCTATTTTTTTAATTTATTCCCAACCTCATTTTGCCAAACAAATTACACCAACCAACAATTTGTCATGTCAGTTACTTAATTACTTAGTTTAATAGTTTCAAGACATTTAAAAGGTTAACACTTTGTGGTCATATAAAAGAATTTAAAACATTGAGCAGTTTTTGTGAGATTGAAAGAGCAGCAATAAAAAAAATAAAGGAAGACCGGTAATAAAGGAAAAAATATAATTTAGGGCATTATGCAGTTTTACAACTGAGATCCATTTATTGTTTTTTCCATGTCGTGGTTCAACTTTTTGAGTTATATTTTTATTGTTTACATATTTTTAATGATTTTCAGTCACGTAATAAAATAAATCATTTTAATTTTATTATTATTATTTAATTTTCAGTGGCTTTCAGATTTGTTCAGTTTGTTTTTCAAAACTCTGATTTTCTCTACCTGTCCGACATTTTCTTTCTTTGTTGAGTATTCTGATTCTGAGAGTCGCATAACCACCACAACACATTGTGTTATTTTTTTTTAAACTTCCTACATATTTTACTACCTTGATGCTAACATTTTAATTAAACGCATAAAAGATTTATACAACGAAACCACTACCTACAATAAAGGCTGATGTAATCCCCATGCCCATAAAGTAAACCATACATTAGCTATGGAGTGCCTGTGTAGTCCACGGCAGACCGCGCCCACAGCCTCGGGTTCTATTTCGGGCCGGCCATAATGGCGCCTCCGAATTTCAAGGTGATCCAGTGCTTCATGCTATAGCTACATTGTTTGGGAGTTGGACTGGATGTGTAGAGCGAATTTTGAATCGAGATTACGAGTAATCTGTCAAATCATTTTGTACAATAGACTCGATCAAGTGAAAAAAATAATTCACACGAAATCAGAATAAATAATTTAAACGCGGTAGTCTTTGATCTGTGTATTAAATTACATTTAAAGCATCTTTGATACACAGTGGTCTCACAACAATAAAAAAACATGCTGAACGAATTGCGAATTAAAGTCAAAAAGAGCAATTCAATCATTTCTTAGATGAGCGATTTTCAGCCTGTAGGTTGGCTTTAAAGGTGTGTGGCAGTTACTTTCAGTTTCAATTTTAAAATAGACCGCTCCTCTTAAAGCTTTTAAAGTAATAAGAAATATGTAAAAGTACACTAGGTACTTATATCTCCATTCAAGCTAAATAAGCTTTTGTACGAACGACAGCACACCAAGATAAACACTGTGGCTCTTAATTAATTGTAATAAGAGGCATTTTCCCACAAAAAAGGTTTAGCCTGATATCCTACTGTTGTACCTACATTTTCAAAATGTTATATTTTCAGAATCAGAATCCTTGTTTGCTTTTTTTTCAAGTTGAACATGATAAAAAAGATAAAACTAAGTGTTGTTTTCATGTTTTATTGAGATGAGATTGAGAAATAAAGCAAGCGCTCCTATAAATATGTAAAAGTTATGGAAAGGAGGTTTCCAGGTTGTTGTGACTTACGTCAATAAGATGGCGGACTTTTGTTTGCTTGTGGACTCGATTAATTATTGATTTTACTGATAATAATAACTTAATAAGTAAATAGCTAGCTGAATTAAAATTGTAATAAAGATGGACACAAAGCAATTAGTTTGCCGACTACGTAGTGTGACTACTTGTATTTATTCTGTGGTAGGTAGTAGGTATGTAGTGTGCGTGGACTGAAAATATTAGTAGCTATCGGCAATTGAATTGCCTACGCGCCATTTGCTAATAATAAAACACCAGTTAACACAAAATAAATAAGCGAAAATAGTTTGGATGTCTGGCTGGATGGATGTTAGTTACTCTTTCACGCAAAAACTACTGAACGGATTTTAATAAAACTTACAGTATTATTGTTTATAACCCAGAATAACATATTAAGCTATAATTGATGACCGAAGCCGCGGGTAAAAGCTAGTTACTTATGTATAAAATAAGCTTTGTTACAGCGTCAGATAATCGCGACGATTTTTATTTTTGTTACTCTTGAAGGAGTGTTTTATGGTGTAGTAGGTATTCACATGCTACATAGCGTGGGAGAGGCATGTAATATTTTTATGAAACGTGATAGTACCGGCTAAGCACCAAATCGCGAGTCTCATGTTGAACGTTGCACACCCAAATGTAATGTAAATACACCTTTAGACGCCAACTTACAGCAGCGTCAATAGTTCATGACACCCAGAGTGGCCAAAAAGTTGACAACATAACCTTATTTCAATAAGGGTTTTCGCGAATGAAAGATCCGCTAGATGGCGGGACGTGGATGTGGGGTCTGACTGCTGCGTGATTGGTGGATTTTGACATATCTGTCAATGTCATGTCAAAAATAACCAATCATGCAGCATTTGGACCTCGCGTCTACGTATTGCCATCTGGCGGATTTTTCATTCACGAAAACCCTCATTGTAATAAAGACTTGTAACAAACTTTTTGGCTGTTTTGGGTGTCACGAGCTCCGAGTATTTGACGCTGACTGCACGCAAATTATAAATTCGCGACGCCACGTGTCGGTTCGCTTGGATTGGCTTAAGCGAGAATACGCAGTAATTTTTCGAGAACTATAGGTTACTAATTTACAAAGAGATATAACTAATTTACAAATCTATATGATTATCTATATGATATGATTTATGGATGTAAGGTAAAACTGGAAAAAACCATGTGATCATTTCCTTCTTGAATTAGGTATAGATAGATATACAAGTAGGATTATTTTCGACGTTTTCCTGTTACCTATTTTTCTCTTAAACAATGCAATAATGCACATTTTCCTCTTTTTGACTGAAAATATTAAAGTATTAAAATATTAAACATTATTAGTCTACTAATTAACCTACTCAAATTCTTTGTTTTGCCCAAAGTCAGCTGTTAGAGAATGCCACATGGCAGCTCGCCTTTTTGTAGCGCTTATTTTTATGTGTGGGCAATAATAAATAAATTTTGTCACATATAAAATTATGTTTTGGTGTAATTTAAATTTAATAGCTACGACACAAAATTAAAATGTTACTATGGCCCTACTACAATGAGGATGTATGCTCGGTTGGCTGAAATAATTGATGTTGTTGTGCAATTATTTGCATTGTCATCAATACAATATAGAGTCACGAAGTATAATGTAAAAAGGTGTTTTATGGCACAGTAGATGGCACCTTAGCCTTACGAACCTCTATTACGTAGGTACACATGAGATATGTAGTAGATATCTCATGTGCTACACATTTGCAGTTAGTAGGTACATTTACTTAGTTGGAAAAATCGCACATTTGAACTGAAAAAGGTGTAACAGTTGTCGTCTGTTTACACATCATATATTATCATAACAGCAGTACATTTCTCAGAAATAACCATGAGAGTAGGTAAATACTGAAATCGCATGTTATTTATTAACTTCTCCGACTTTGTATTTTTCTATTTCTGACTCTAATACCTATCATACCACAATAATAGTCCGTCCGAAGGCGTTGGACGCAGGCCGCTACCAACCGGGCAACATGGAAAGCAATT